CCATGAACATCTAAGTGAGAAAATTTATGTAAAGTGCCCAGCATATCATTTTGCATTTAGTAAACACCCAAATGTTAATTCCCTCCCTTCCCCTCTCCAAGTGAGAAGTCTAAACAACTTATACAAATACAGTCTTTCTTTGACATACTATTGTTCTGAAGCACATGTCTTTCCTAATCAACACACTCCAAGCTGGTAAGTGATGCCTAGTTCTTAGCCTCAGAACCAGGAGACCGTGGTCAAGATTTAGCTCTGGTCTGTACTGGCTAGCTGACTTCTGAGCTTCAGTTTTCTTACATAATAACGTGGAATCTTAACATCTACCCATCTCACCTCTCAGGGTTGTTGTAAGGGTGATTAAGGATCTGAATGTGATTAATTAATGGGATTAAGGATCTGAAAGTGCTCTGTGACCTTACCTTGGTTTGTCCTGGGAAGAATTTGTCTTGGACTACTTTCTTCTTCCTATGTGTGCAGGGAGAGGGACAGAAGGACAGAGAAAATGAGGGCCCCTGAGTTTCCAACCCTAACAGACAGGGGATGTGGTGGAAGGAGGTATGTTCTCTGGGGCATTCAAATTCCACCACATACTAGTTGTATTGCTTTAGTTAAATTCATCATTCTAGCCTCAATTTCCTCATCTGTAAAATGGGGATATTAATGCTCTGTGGTAGAGTTGCCATGAACATCTAAGTGAGAAAATTTATGTAAAGTGCCCAGCATATCATTTTGCATTTAGTAAACACCCAAATGTTAATTCCCTCCCTTCCCCTCTCCAAGTGAGAAGTCTAAACAACTTATACAAATACAGTCTTTCTTTGACATACTATTGTTCTGAAGCACATGTCTTTCCTAATCAACACACTCCAAGCTGGTAAGTGATGCCTAGTTCTTAGCCTCAGAACCAGGAGACCGTGGTCAAGATTTAGCTCTGGTCTGTACTGGCTAGCTGACTTCTGAGCTTCAGTTTTCTTACATAATAACGTGGAATCTTAACATCTACCCATCTCACCTCTCAGGGTTGTTGTAAGGGTGATTAAGGATCTGAATGTGATTAATTAATGGGATTAAGGATCTGAAAGTGCTCTGTGACCTTACCTTGGTTTGTCCTGGGAAGAATTTGTCTTGGACTACTTTCTTCTTCCTATGTCAGTTACAATTCTTTTTGAAAGAGCCCTTGCCTTCTTATCTCCTTCTACTCCCTCTTTTGCTCCCCTTAATTTCCACTAGTCTCCCATGTGGACCAACGTAACCATATGGTTTTTCCACTCAACAAAACTTGATGGTAGCCAAGAGGCAAAATGCCAGGACCATTCTCAGTTTTGACATCAGTTTGACTCCCTCTCTGCTATGCCAATGCACACTATTTCAAAAGCTAACTTCCTTTTGTTCAGCAACTTTTGTGGCCTCTGTGACCTCCTCCTTCTGCCTTAACTGCTCAGGATTCAGTCTCAGGGCCAGGTTATGGGACGTGAGCACTGAAGGACAAGGGGATCTTCTGAAGACAAGGGTCTTTGTCTTTAACTGGGGTTGAGTACATTTCACCCCTTAAAGTTCATATTTAACCAGTGATGACTCTTCTTACCTAGAGATTGGAACAATACCCTCAAAAGGCACCAAAATGTCATGCAACAAAGCAAGTATCTTCTTACCTATACCTACACTGTTGTAAATACACAGATCTCCATTTCCAAATTACAGGAAAATTCAGGTATAGTTTGGAATAATAATAGGAAAAATAGGCAAATGCAAGAGCAATTGGAAAAAAGAAAGATGACACGTAATTGAAAACAAAGGTTCTCCAAGTTCTTGAAAAGTGTGAGATGAGAAATAAATAAATAAATAAATAAATAAATAAATAAATAAATAAATAAAAAGAAAGAAGACACTAGAAATAAAGAAAAGTAGACATATTATAAGGAGAACTTTATGAAAATTAAAACTAGTAAGGGAATGGCAGAGGGGAATTATTTCTTGAAGAAATCCTAGGTTGGTATAAAACCAACCATTCATTCAGCAAAAATGCTTTGCTTCTGTTTAGTAGAAAGAACACTCCACTGAGAGTCAGGAGTCCTGAGCACAAAACAGTTTGTGCTGCTAACTAGTTGTGAGACCCAGGAAAGATCACTTAACCTGTCAGGACCTTGATTTTCTTACCTATAAAACAAGGAGGTTGGCTGCAGCTTGGGACTGTGCTAGATACCAAATTGACCATATTTCTTTTATACTTTCCCCTGCTAGTGCAAGCTGATTGTGGGCATCTCTTCCCAATCTGTCTCCAGAAGCATCACATTGGCAGCTTTAAGTCACCTATGGTGGGAGTGTACACCACAGAAATCAGAAAATGCCACAGATCAGCTTTTTCTCTTCTGAGAACCAATTGCTAAGTTTACCAAAACACATTGCCTGTGAGCCAGTCTCATTTCCAGCTACACTTCTCTGCTGAGGTCCAAACTCTGTGTCTAAGCAGCACTCCCCATATCTCTACTCTGAGGTTTAAATATTGGTGCTAAATGCAATTCTTCCTGCTAAGAAGATAGCCAGAGATAGCCAGGGAAGGAGAGGAGTAAGAGGGGAGAGAATCTCCCTGCTAGGTGGGTCTCCTCGGCCCCTCAGGGTATGCCATGCTCATAGTGCTGGTGATGTGGGGTGCTCTCAGGAAAGTGAGAGAAAGGGTTCTGGGTTGAAAACAAATAAGTCACAGGAAGTAGGGTGATCTTTCTGTGGGTTTCTTATTCAGTAGGAGCCAAGAGAAGACTGGAGAATTCATATACCCTTTATTCTGTTACTAACTAAACAGTGCTCTGAAAAAGAGAAATAATTAGAGGCTCTCAAGTTAAAAAAAAATCTGGAAGGGACTCTTTCACCCATGTTTTGTTTGTTTCTTATTCTATAACTAAACAGATCTTCAGGACCCCCCTGCTTCTCCCATATTTATGCCTATGAAGAGGAAGACATCCATCAGAGTAAGGCATCCTGCTGTCTCAAGGAGGGAAAAGTTCCTATGCCAATTGAGAAACACTTTTGCCCAAAGGCATTAAGAGTCAACTTAGGGAAAATCAGGGGCTGTGTCTGTGTTGCCCAATGTGGTAGCTATTAGCCCCCTGGGCACTGCACTTGAAATGAAACCATTCTGAATTGAGATGGTCTGTAAGTATAAAACACATAATGGATTTTGAAGATTTAAGTTATTAAAACTGAATATAAAACTATCCCAGTAAGTTTTATATTGATTAATGTTGACCAATAAAATCTGGATATACTGGGTTAAATAAAATATATTTACCAAGTCAGTGCCACCTGTTTCCTTTTACTTTTTAAATGTGGCTACATAATTAGGTTCCCATTATGGACTGCACTGGGCTTAGCGTCCAGATCTCAGACACAGCCCAGTTTATCCCACTCCTATCTGAAGACCGTTAGTGACAGGCAACTTACTTCTTCAGACCACTTTATTTAAGACAGCACAAGCCTTAAAAGATTTTTACTGGTCTTAGTTCGGACTTTTGGGGCAAAGAGAATATATTAGTCCTCTTGCACAAAACAGACTTCCAAGATGAAGACTGTGACCATGTCCAATCCCACTGGGCAGCCTTGTCCCACCTGAGTTAAGGAGCTTCCCCTTCAGCACCCCCTTGCTCAGTGAGCATTACACTTTCAAGCCAGGACTTAGACAAAATATCCCCTGGGCTCCAGGAATCTTTCTTCAGCATTGTTTTTTGGGAAATCTTTCCAACAAATGCTTAATGTATTGCTTTTGTTAGACAAAATTACTACTACGGGGGGAAAATGTCACTGCTTTTAATAGCTAGCACTTATGAAGCAATTCCTTTGGGCCATCCTATATCGCAAACATTTTACACACTTTAACTCATTGAATCGTTGCAACAGGTTATGTTAGGCTCCCCACTTAATAGGCAGGGAAGCTAAAACACAAAGAAATTAAGTAGCTTCCTGGCAGGGACAGGGTGCAAACCCTACTGGCTTTGCTTATATTTTTATAATCATTACTAACGAATGCTCATATGATAAAACATTTTCTGTGATCAAATGTGCTTCCCAGGAAGCTCCCTGGTGGTGGGGAGGTTCTATCTTATCCTTGTCTCTCCAGGCCTCCCCCCACAACCGTTACTGAAGTGCGTGGAGTACCCTTGGAACACACTGGGTGCAGACAGTGCTTGTTAATATGGAGGGAGATCAGGAACCAACAATTCAAAGTTGAAATCCCTTCTATCTGATCTCAAAAGAAAACTGGGAATGAAAATTCTTACAGACACTTTCAATCTAAAGTTTAAGCAGGTTAAGTCTAGAGAAATAGAAGAGAGACTCAATAAGAGAGACTGAGGATTTGAAAAGCTCTGAATCTGCTCCTCATGAGAACTCACTCATTTAAAAAAAATCAGAGGGGAGAGGGGACAGGAATAAATCTGTTTGAACAATTTAGGATACAAATAAGGATGAACTTTCTAACAATAAAAACCAGGAATGATTAAAATAGCTTGTTCAGAGAAAAAAAGGTGTGTTATGAAAAATCACAAGGAATCCCTTTTTGGGGGGATGATCTGTGATTCTATCCTTAGACCTAATATGAGGAGAGAGAGCAGTGCTCCCTCCTTCCGGCCAAAACACTCAGAAGATATTTTTCGGGGGTTAGATAGAAGTATTGCGATTTGAAAGCTAGACCGCACAGACCACAGAGGAAGCCCCTCTACAAAAAAAGCAGAGAAGGAACAATGGGAGATGAGAGACATGAGGAGGAAGACAGGGGTCCTGGGGTGGGGGCCTTGCAGCCCTTCTGACCTGAGGAGCAGCCTCCCTCTTCCTCCAGGCAGCCAGGTAGAGGCCACAGGCTGCCCGTAGAACTGGTGTTGCGGTGGATTTTCTGGCTTCCTCCCCGCCACAGGTGTTGAAAGGAACCTCTTAACACTGACTCAAAAGGGAAGGTGTGCTGTAAGACCCAGACTCCAAGTCAGAAGGCTCCCACCGCGGAGGCGACTTACCCAACAGCTGCACAGCCACTGGAATAAAGAGGAAAACTAGGAGCAGGGATCGCCTCATGGCCCAGAGCTTTTCCTTTTCTTCCACTGATGGAGAGAAGGGGCAACGAGAACCAAAGCAATGAGGGCACGATTACCCCTTCCCCTACTCCATTCTCCGAGCTGTGCTGCTGGAAAGTGCGGAGGAAGCTCTTGCTTTTAAAGGGCTTCTGAAATTAGGGAAAACCTCCAATAAGGAGATATCCTGTCACATGAGGGTAGCTGGAAAAACAGGAATTCAAAGTCACAACTCTGCTTTGTAAGCTAACTTCTGAGAAGCGCAGACACAGAGGAAGGGGATAGAGGGACATGTGTGGGAGAGGGGTGAGAAAGGGGGAGGTGGGAGGGTGATGGTGGGAAATGAGGAGTGAGGGCTGGCCTGCTGCGAGGGAAGAAGTGAAACAGTTTTGAACCTCAGGCCTTCTCCGATGGGGCTGTGTGGAGAGCAAGCTGGAGGCCATTACCTGGGACGGAAACCTGAAGTTGTCTGGGAAGTGGATGCATCAACGGTCCTTCAGCAGACAACCTCCATTCTAAAGTGACAGAAATGAGAGGCACTAAAAAGGACAGTTTTATGGTGGAAACATTTTCCTAAGGGCTGAAATGGGTCCCCTCACTCTTCCTATCAGTGCTTAAAGGTTCTTTTTTTTTTCTTTCAAAAATTAAAAAGAAACACTTCACATGGAGCTTTGTTCCTTTAGCCAGAAGAAATGCAAAAGACAGGCTAAACTTAAAAGGGAATCTCAGTAAGGCCAGGAGGGAGAAAGTTCTAGAAGTCATTCCTAGAAAGTCCTCTGGAAAGCCAGAGAAAACAGTGGCAAAGCATTTGCATTAAAGTCTTGCTACCCAGTTTCAATCTTCTTCAGGTTTGGAAGGGTCCCCTTGCTAGGAGAAAATCTGCTCGTTGAGTCAGAAAGTTGTCATTATAGGATGGGTTTAATCCTTTCTTTAAAAAAATGGTAACATATCTTTCATTAAGCACAGTATTAATATTAACCTTATTAATATTATTAATAATAAACAACTGTTTTGTTATTTTTCAATAGTAAAACATGAATTAAGAACATTTTGAAGCAGATGAAAGTAATTGGAAAGCCAACCCACAAGCGGAATGTGGTAAATGTTAGCAATTCAAAAAGAAGCCACTGGAAATACTGATGTTTTTTGAATAGTTTATCTTCAAGTGTAAAGTTTCAAGATTCGCCATCTTTGTGATAAAGTTATACACTTCTTAATAAGAAACATGACATGCTTCTCTTATTGTTTTTTTTAACTTTTTATTTTTTATTTAGTCAAGTTTCATATATATACATATATACAGTTGTAATTGTAGAATACATATTTTATAAGGTTTTTTCACTGTTTCACTTATGATTTTCTCTTATTTTTTTTTTTTACATTTCCATAGTCTTTATGATTATTTTTGATAGTAAATACATGGTGTTTTATTTAGTTGATACCATACATTATTTAATACTTGATTGTTTTTTAACATTCTAAATTTAAGATTATTCTGATAGGAAGAAAAAGATGGTGAAAATGTAGGATACAGAGCAAATGTTTCTTCTTCATTTAGCCAATTCTTGAAAAAAAAACAAGTTGGTTATAAAACAGAACAGATGAAACAAAATGTTTCTTTCTATGACATTGCTTCATTGATTTATCATGAAAAAACTCTTTTAAATGTAAGTAATTTATAAAAATTCAGAAAGTTCAGCCTAATGTAGATTTATATCAATTTCAGAAGCAAAAAAATTTAATTGAATTCTCTCTACATTCACATTTGGATTTGTTTTGTTTTGTTTTAATTACACATATAGCCAACCAGAATCAGTGGTAAAATATGTGACTTTGAAACAAATGAAGCCAACTATCCCACAAAGAAGTTACTCCAGGACTTTGACCTTATTGAAACAAAGATTTATCAGGCTAAAAGAGATGACAGAAAAAGAAGTCTATCTTTGGGGCAGTGATATCATAGAAGATGGTGTAATAGGAAGCTCTAGAAATCCATCATTCCACCTAACCAACAATTCAACTGGCAGGAATTATTTGAAGTAATTATTTTGGAACTAGACTCTAATAGAAAACTTGGAACATCCAGTGGCGAGCTTGATGGAGAGGCTGGTAAATTTTGGTGGATTTCTTTTAACCTTTCCCTGTAGTAGTGGCTACCATCCTCCATCTCCCATCTTTGAGGCAGGCAGCAGGAGCAGAGTGGTAGACTGAATTTCTGGTGCAGATTGCTGGAGCCAGGGGGGACAAAAAGGACTTTGTCCCCCAAATATCAGGGTTGTGTGCTCTGAAGGCTTATAGTTGCTTTTAATTGCTTTCACCACTCCTATTCAGAACATAGTACTGGAAGTTCTAGCCAGAGCAATAAGGCAAGAAAAAATGTAAGTATAATTTGGAAAAGAAAAAGGAAAATTATCTCTTCACAGATGGCATTAGTTTGTACATGGAAAACCCTGAAACATACATGCACACACACACACACACAACTGTTATAGCTAATAAACAAATGCAACAAAGTTGAAGGATACAAAATCAAAATACAAAAACCAGTTGTTTCTATACACTATTAATGAAAAATATGAAAAGGAATTTAAAAAATCAATTCCATTTAAAATATCAAGAGAATAAATACTTAGGAATAAATTTAATCAAGGGGGTAGAAGACTTATACAATGAAAACTATAAAACTGCTGAAATAAATTAAAGAATACTTTAAAAAATGGGAAGATAACCTGTGTTCATAGAATGGAAGACTTAATATTGTCAAAATGACAATACTATACCTAAAGAGATCTATATATTTAATGCAATCACTATCCAAATCCCAATGACATTTTTTGCAGAAACAGAAACAGCCATCCTAACATTCATATGCAATTGCAAGAAATCCCACACAGCCAAAACAACCTTGAAAAAGAACAAAGTTGGAGGATTTAAGTCATTTTTCCTAGTTTCAAAACTCACTACAAAACTACAATATCAAAATAGTGTGGTATTAGCATAGGAGAGATATAACAGACTCATATATACAATAACCAGCTGGTGGTTGCTAGAGGGGAAGGGAGTGCGAGATGAGCAAAATAGATGAAGGGGATTAAGAGGTACAAACTTCCACTTATGGATTTAAATAAGTCACAGGCATAAAAAGTACAGTATGGGGAATTTAGTCAATTGTTTTGTAATGACTTTGTATGGTGATATGGCATGCACACATTGTGGTGAGCATTTCATAATATATATAACAGTCAAATCACTATGTTGGATAGCTGAAATATAATACTGTATGTCATCTGTATTTCAATTTTTTAAAAAAAGAGTGAAAAGGCGACCCACAGAAAGGGAGAAAATATTTGCAAATCATGTATCTGATAAGGAATTACTATCCATAATATATAAAGAATGATAATTCAACAGCAACAACAAAACAATCCACTTTAAAATGGTCAATAAACTTGAGCAGACATTTTACCAAAGATATACAAATAACCAATAAGCACATGAAAAGATGCTCAACATCATTTGTGATTAGGAGAGTGCAAATGAAAACATGATGGAATATCACTTCACATCCATCAGGATGGCTACTATCAAAAATAAAACCAGAAAATAACACAGGTTGGTGAGGATATGGAGAAACTGGAACAGGTATACATTCCTGATGGGAATATAAAATGTCACAGACATTGTGGAAAACAGTTTGGCCATTTCTCAGAAAGTTAAACAGAGAATTGCCATATGATCCAGCAATTCTGCTTCAAGGTACATATCCAGAAGAATTAAAACAGACTCCAACAGATATTTGTACACCAATGTTCATAGCAGCATTATCCATAGTAGCCAAAAGAAAGAAACACCCCCAAGTGTCCATCAGCTGATGCACAGTAAAAAAATATGGTATATATACATAGGAATATTATTCAGCCATAAAAAGGAATTCTGATACCTGCTACATGTACAACCTTGAAAACAGCATTACGCTAAGTGAAATAATCAAGACTCAAAAGTAAAAATACTGTATGATTCCATTTATATATTTGGAATAGACAAATTTACAGAAACAGAAAGAATAGAGGGACTGGCAGGGGAAGAGAGAATGATAGCTATTGTTTAATGAATTTCTGTTTGGAATGATGAAAAGTTGTGAAGATAATGGCGACATTACACAACACTGTGAATATATTTAAGGCCACTGAATTGTACATGTAAAAATGGTTAAAATGCTAAATTTTATGTATGCATATTTTATCACATTAAAATAAAATCCATCTCCTATAACATCCTTTTTATATCTTTCTACTAAGTTTGGTTCTGGTTTTTGTTTAGCTGTTGATGATGGTTGTTTTTAACTAGTACTTCCTTTAGTTAAAGAAGTTTATATGACATAAAGGAAATCCTTTTTTTTTCAATTGGCAAGACAATTGCTCAACTCTTTCATTTCCATCTAGACTTTTTCTTTCTCAAGCATCATGTACCTCACACCCACTCAAATCCATGTAAGATGAACTCAGTGACTCTTTTCCTCTGAAATAGTTCCAAAAAAATTAGCTCAACAAATTCTTTAGTAACCTATCCTATCATTTCTAACAGTTGAAACAGGTGATTAATTCTGACATATATTTTGTTTGAGCAAGCCTGTGTTTTTAGGAAAAGATGAGAAAACTGAACAGCTGCATGCAGATGAAATTGGGCCACTTTCTTATACCATACACAAAAATAAACTCAAAATGTACTAAAATCTCACTGTAAGACTGAAACTATAAAACTTCTGAAAGAAAACACAGGCAGTAAACTCTCAGACATTCTAAGTCTCAGAACTATTTTTTTGACCTGTGTTCTCATGAATGGGAAACAAAAGCAAAAATAAACAACTGAGATTACATCAGACTAAAAACATTTTGCACAGTGAAGGAAATAACAAAATGAAAAGACAACCTACTAAATGGGCAAATCATATCTAATAAGGGGTTAATATCCATAATATCTAATAAGGAGTTAATATCCAAAATATAAAAAGAACTCATATAACTCAACAAATAAAAATGTGATATACAAATGGGCAGAGGAACTGAATAGACATTTTCAAAAAAGATGTCCAGACGGCCAAAAGAAAAGTGAAAAGAAGCTCAGTATCACTAATCATCAAGGAAATACAAATCAAAATCACAGTGAAATGTCATCTCACTCTTGTCAGGATGGCTACTATCAAAAAGACAAGAAATAAGTGTTGGCAAGGATATGCAGAAAAGGGAACCCTCATGCACTGTTGATGGGAATGTAAATTGGTGCAGCCACTATGGAATACAGTATGGAGGTTCCTAAAATAAATGTATACATATATATATATATAACTACCATATGATCAAGGAATTCCACTTCTGGATATTTATCCAAAAAAAATGGAAACACTAATTCAAAAAAAATATGTGCATCCCTCTGTTTCTTGCAGCATTATCTCTATAATAGCCAAGATATGGAAGCAATATTAAGTGCCCTTGGATGAATGGATAAAGATGTGCCATATACATACACAAAGAATATCACTAGCCATAAAAAAGAATGATATCTTGCCATTGTTAACAAGGATGGAACTTGAGAGTATAATTCTAAGTAAAATGATTCAGAGAAAACCAAATACTGCAAGATTTCACTTCTACATGGAATCTAAAACAAAACAGAACAGAAACAGACTCTTTTAGACACAGAGAACTGGTGGTTGTCAGAGGAAGGGAGAGGGTGATGCACAAAATAGGTGAAGGCAATCAAGAAAAACAAACTTGCAGTTTTAAAACAAGACACAAAAATGTAAAGCACAGCATAGGGAGTATAGTTAATAATGTAATAACTATGTATGATTACAAACGGTAACTAGACTTATGGTGATCATTTTGTAATATATATAAATTTCAAATCACCATGTTTTACACCTGAAACTAATATATTATATGTCAAATATACTTCTATTAAAAAATAAAAATAATAAATATTGAAATACATTAAAAAAAACTACCATAGACTAACATTTTATAAATTTGAGTATACTCTCAAAATATGAAATCAAATTAAATTTAGATATCAATAATATTCCTCCTAGGTGTAATTTTTGTACATGCCTTCATTATTTGTATAGTGTTGTGATTTCTCAAAATATCAGGTACATCCATATTCAAAATAAGATACAAAATGCAATCTTAAGTCAAATATGTAATCCTTTACAGTTTATCTGGGCACTGTTCATGCTATAAATTTACAATATAAAGACAAAATACAAGTGTATATAAAATATTTGTATGTTTAGGCATACAAGTGTATATAAAATATTTTTATATTTAGCAATATTACAGATCACCTACTTGGTCCTAGGTTTTTCTTAATAAAAAGGATTATTATGGCAAAATTTGAATATTTATACTGTAATTTTTTTAGAGCTCTAATATTATAAATTTCTGTTGGATTGACAGATGAAGATAAAGATGCATAGTTTAGTAAGACTCTCAGGCTTCCTTTAAGGAACTTAAAGATTAATGGAAAGCTCAGAAAAGTAAATAAGTAATGAAAGTAGTAATCAAGTACTATAATTAGGGTTGTATGAGAACTCACAGGAGGTACACTAACTTACATGCCTGAGGAATGAATATTCATTCACATCAGCTTTAATCTGTATATTCAGTAGATTGCTCACTTTTGAACCTAATACTACTAGGTGAAAGACTATAGTCTGAGGTAACCTTAAGATCTTGCATATTATCTTTCACAAATGTATGGTTTTGATTTTTATTCCCAGAGGGTAATCAGGGACACAGAAAAAAATAAAAAAGGAAAATTAAAACAGTGCATTTACCACTTGTTTCCTGGGGATTTGGTACAATTAAAATACTTAGTGTTTATCAAGTTGTTATTATTGGCCACTGTGATGAGACTATTCCCTACTCATTTAATACTCTTAAAATCTACAAAAGAACCATTTAACCCTACTAAAGTCCTATTATGCTGATCTTTTAGATGTGGAAACTAGGGCCTACAGAGGTCAGAGAAACTTGCCCCAAGTCATATAAAGAGGCCAGAAGCTAAACTTTTAACAACTGTGGACAGAAGTTCTCTTACAGTGTGTGAAAAAACCATATAGCAGGGGCAGGGGTGGAGTGAGATGGGAATTTCATGGAGAGTAGGGGTGGCAGGCAAGTCCAGTTATCCGTTCACTCGTAAAGTATTTGATACCACAGATGTTTGCAGAGACTTGCAATGTGAAACGTTACTTTGCACACAGCCCCTCACAAATCTTTCTAGCATTTGAAAATTCATACAAAATGGAGAGCCCCTATCACAAATACCTCAAATACCTGAGAGTGCCCCAATATAGTGAAGGCAAATTACATAAGTATGTGTAAGGCTGGCGGCACCGGAGAGAGGGGTGAGCACTTCGGACACTGATGACGTGCCAAAGTCCCCGGCTGCTGCCCCGTCCCAACCTGAAAAGGTGCCTTAGGCTAGCCAGTTCTCGCGCCGCTGTAAATCTGAGCTCTGCCTCCCCCTACCTTCTTTAAAAACTCCCCGCCTGTGTTTTAGACTGGTGAACCTCGCCGGGGATTGCGCTCAAATAAACTGCCTGGCTCTTTGCTGCGTCTCGTCGCCTGCTTATTTCGGTTAGAATTTATCTTACAGTATGTACCTAAATATTTAACATCAAGATATTCATAATATATTATCATATACCACACTAATGTGTTAGCTATTGTATTTGGAAGTTGAACTACTATTTTTAAACAGGGCTTATGTGCGATTATTTTTATGATAGTATCAAATTCCACAAATAAATATGATTCCATAAATATATTTTACTTTGAAATCTACATCTTCAATTTATGCCTTATCATAAAACTTGATCTAAAGTTTTATAGATAAACTTTATTATTATCTAATGTACCTGGACTTCATTATATTAAACAATATTTGTGTTAGCTCAGTACTAGCAAAAGAGCTAAGTCCTAAACTGAGCCCAAATAGCTGTTAAACAAAATTGCTTTTTAGGCTGAAATCAACCAGTTACACAAATGTCCCTTGACACAGTAGAATAAAGAACATAATTCCATGTTTGAAGGAGACCCTAAAACTACAAATCAAAAAATTTTAAAGCATAATCTAAAAGTTATTCAATAACTTAAGATATGTTTCCTAAAAATTAATTTTAACTAATAAATTCTTGTAATTCTCTTTATATAAATGACAGAATCTCATTCTTCTTGGTCTAACTTCTTGGGAAAACATGTTCTAATTTTTTTTAAGGCTTCATTGAAGAGGATTTTGAGAAAAACTGCATTATATGTAGCTAACTAAAATTAACCACTAACATTTTCTACGGATTTTGGGAAACCAACTGTGGGTAAAATTGTAATATTTCCAGAATATCTTGCCTGGCTTTAGTGTATCTGCATATCAATAGGTGTTCAGAAGTGGAAAGAAGTATGGCTTTAGTGCATTTGCATCTTTCCTCAGGGGTGGAGAAGTTCATCTCCATATCAATGGGTAATTACCCGGGCAAAGGAGGGCTTATCTGCACCTGCGAGGTGAGGGGGAGGGCCGGTGTGGTTGCTGCTTGAGCAGAGAAGAAAGACGGCCTGGGACTGCAGTTTGTGAGCAATAAAAGGGTTTTAAACTTTATTTCTCCCTTTGACTGATTTTGATTTTTAGGGGTATTTTGCCCCGGGATTTCCTTTCCCCGGATTTACATCAACTTATAAGAATATAATTTTGCTTATATTTAGCACCACTTACATACATTAAGAATAAACTTACATGCTTCAGTTAAACTATTAAAATATTAACTTTATTATTAAAAATAGTTCATGCTGTACAAGCTATTCTTCATTGTTTTATGCAGTACAAAAACTTATGCCCCTGAAAAAAAGATTACATGCATAATAAAGAGATTTGAATATACTACATTTTCTTTTTAAAATAAAGACATTTCAAAGGTAGAGAAAACTCTGAATTTGGTTAAGTAATTGAAGTAAACATAAGAGAGAGTCACTAGTACATTTTTACAAAGGCCCAGTGTGGGTGTGATAGTTCCCAAGGAAATGATTAAACTAAGTCTAACAAAAATAAAGGGTAAATCCTGGAGCAGGATGCCCAGAGAATTGAGGAGAGGGTTCTGGGGAGTGAATATAATTCGAAGGAGAGAAATAAAACTGAATATGTAGACTGGGTATACCCAGCCCGACTTGTACACCGCCTGGTGGCCGGCCACACGCACCATTTCTATGGTGTCGGACCACAGCAGAAAGCTCCACAGGAAGATCTCAGCACGATGGTCCTGTTGCGACATTGTACTCAGCACTGCTGACTGAAAGGAGGGCTCCTGAGGTCCCGCCAGAGCAGGAGCCCAGCTTTGTGTGGTGGCTCTTGGTGGCAGCGACGCCTGGGTCATCCTGGCTGGCTGGGGAAGCTCAGGGTTTTCTTCCTTTTGCCTCACTTGGTCCATCACAGTTTTTACTTGTTGCAAAGTGGTTGCATGCATGTGCTTGTCTTCATTACCTGTGATAAATTGATTTAAATTTTTTTAATTTTCAAATTTTATTACAATTTCAAATTTAAACTTTGAATTTTTATTTAAATTAAAAAAATAAAATTGTAAGTGTTCTTATTTGAGGTCTGCTTTACTCATGTAACTTTAAGACAACAATGGGTTGCAAAGAGAAAAAAACATACAGAGGTAAAGAAGGCTCTTCATGTTACTTTGTTTTCTTGGATGTGAATCCTGTCATTTTGACCATTTCATAGCACTAGCCATTATTGGTTACTGAGTCAAGCACTGTCACACATTATCTCATTTAATACTCAGAAAAAAGTTGAGAGAGAGGGACCACTATCCCATTTTATAAATATGGAAACTGGGCCCAAGATGTAAAATGACACCCAAATTTGAATACACAGTTCATAATCAGCAGAGTTGGAATTCACACCCAGATTTACTTGACCTCAATTGACAATATCTTAACTTTATGGCTGCTGTTACCTGTTTTAGAGGCAATATATCATGTGCTGATTGTAAAACATATAAATGTCATAAAACTAACTGAATTTAAAAGTTCAATGGTCTAATCACTACAACCCAGATCTCCAGATTTAGAGGTTGGTGCTCAGAAGGGAGTCTATTTGACAATGAGAGAGTCTTAGTGAAGGGTGACACTCTGAATCTAAGATTTTTAAGCTGTTCTTGTCCCAAAGTGTCTGAACTAGTCAGTGTGACTGGTTAGACTAAAGCATCTTGTTTGTGGCTGGTAGGCTATGCCTGGTCAATATGCCTGTCATCTGAATGCCTGAAGCATTCTCTCACCAATGGCACACTGTGTGTGTGTGTGTGTGTGTGGCAAAGAGAGGGAGGAAGAGGAAGATGAAAATGGAAGGAGAGAGAAAGACGGTGAGAGCTTTGTGTACATGTGGGGTTGAATATGAATACAGGGGAATATGAAGGAATCCTCAGATCTCAAGGCTTACTAGCAGTGTTGACTGGTATGGTTTCTCTACATGAAAGGTACAACACATTATTTTTCAAACACTGATCTGTTTAAGCACCATTGCTGTTGCTAAGAATTTATTAGGTCTTGACAAAGTTTACCTAGGGAACATGTGGAGCTATCATATTGCTTGATAAGACAAAATTTAAAGGAAGTTATGAAACTAAATAGCTCTAAAGGTTAAAGACACAAAGTCAATAAAAATTTGAACAGTACTGAGCTAAAGTGAAAACATTTAAAAATAAATGTTATTATGATTAATGACTAATAAAATGTTTGATTACCATAAACAGGTGATGTTTAAAGGACAAACCTTGGTTTCCCTTTTATACAATTAACTATTTTAAAATTTTAAGTGTGAACTGAATATATTTATAAACTAAAAAGATAATCTAAATTCTTGATGAAATATTACTTTCAGTGTGAATCATTCATAAATAAATGGTAGGACCCATAATCCTTAGAAACTTCTTTACCAATCTTAGATGTCACAGTGGCCTGAAAGAGTACTATTTTAATAAATAATACTCAAGTAAGAAAGAAAATTACATACTAATTACTACAATTTTAATATTCATAAAACATCTCTTTTTAAATTCAGATGCTCACGGGCATCAATTATGTCTCTCATTTAAAAAAAAATCAATATAGAAAATATGTTTCTTAGTGTATAGCATATCCTAGAGAACTCTCCTTCACCTCTTTTAGTAGATAAAGCTGTTTGAATTAAATCCAAATTCCTTTGTCAACATGAAAAACACAATGTATAATTTGGGATTTTGAAGTCTAATGCAAATTCAGCATTGTTTCAGTGGCAATCTAAGAAATGACACATTAACATTTCAGTCAGTAAGAATCTTAATATCCGTGGATAAAAGCTATGGGATGAATTATGAATTTCTTGGCTAGAGTTCATTTCTAATAAAATACTAAGGCTCTAATCCTGGTGTATTTGGTGAACCCAGAGTGGGAGCTTCCTATGTTGCCACAGCTCAATAGGGACTACTTTACATTTAGGGGTACTACTGGCCCTCCAGAGGGCAAAGTAGAGTTAGAAAAGTCAAGAAATCATTTGCTCATTAGAATTTTTATCCCTGAGCTGTATAACTTTCATGTATTCAATACCATTCACTTTGGCTATAAGATTAGTTTCCCTCCAAATTATTATTTTTTAATTTTCCACTTGCAGGTGGAGTTCTTTTTATTGTTGTTAGTTGCTAGTGTTCTATTTGTTTAACACAATATTTGTTTGTGTAAAATCCACAGAAAAGGTATAAGCATGAAGAAAGAGATCTACTCACTTGCTGAGAGGTTCACACTGCACTGTAAAAATTAAAAATAGCAGCCAATTTGTGTAGTTTTCCACATCTGATTCCAGTTGCCAAAACAACTTATTTTCACTGTGCAAGCAAGCTAACTAATTAAGGAAATGTCATTTTGATCGCAGATATATCTTTAAGTTGGTAACTCATATTCATTTCACTTTATATTGATGTATTTCTAACTTGATTCCCCCAAATTTTAGATAGGGAAAACTAAGGACAACCTAACAAATCAGTACTGAGGAATTTTCTGGAGTGAGTATGTATTCCTCTTGCAAATAGAATAGGAAAGCCACAGAAGTTAAGTAACGAGAGAAGAATCACGAGGAAAAGCACCTAAAAACAAGAGAGGAATGAAGTCAATACTAAAAATGCACTATTTAGGTTCCCAGCCATCTGTTTTGAGCAGACAAAATTTAGATGCTGTACCAAGATTAAGCTGGGCATTGAGTATGGTGTAGCAAATAATCTGGAAACAGTCCCCACCTGCAATCACATCAATAAACAGAAAAGAATCAACTGTGGCAGGGCTTTAAAAGGAAAGTCAGTTCTGTGAAGAGACTATCGTGGGGGTCTGAATTAGACAGAGGGTCAGGAAGGCTAATCTGAGAAGTGACAGTTAACCAGAGACCTGAAGAATAAGTAGGAGTAAATTAAGTGAAGAATGGAGAAAGGCACTTTCCAGGTAGTAGGAACTGCATGTGTAAAGATCCCTCAGCTACAATGTATTGGAAAGAGGGCTTGGTGAGGGTTTGGAAGGCAGAGGGAAGAGAGGAGGAGAGGATCTAATATATTCCGTGTTTTTTCTATATACTAGGCACTGTCCTAAGCCCTTTCTATGCATTAATTCACTTAATCCTTAAAAAAAGCCTTATGATGTAGATACTATTATCTTCTCATGTTAAAGATGAGTAAACTGAGGCATGGGGTGATAAATAATTGTCTACAAAATCACATGGTTAAAAAAGAGAGAGATGGGAACTTGAACCTCAAACCTTTAACCACTAGACCACACCATCTGTGGCACAGTCAGGTTATACAGAACCTTATGGGCCATGATAAAGGTTTATATTCTAAACTTTATTTTAAAGTCAATAGAAAGCCACTAAAGATGAAGAGTAAAGAAGTCAGAAGGGACAGGGAGGATATGGAGACATCAGCAAAGAGGCTCTTGGGTCCAGTTTGGCAACTGATGCAAAATGAGATTGTTACTGAATTCACAGCAACCAGAAGAAAATAAATTAAAAGAGTTATTCAGAAAAAGCATGAATACTCTTGATTAATAGTCTCCAAAATTCATTTTTCCTGAAAGGAAAATATTCTACAAAAAAAAAATGCAATGATTTAGACATAACAAAATCTGAGAAAAAATATGGAAAAGAAAAATTTAACAGTCTTATTAAAATTATTTTAGCACATGTTAAGTACACAAAGCACTTTCAGGTATAATACTCTTAGGCAATAAGAGGACAAAATATTAAAATGCACACCAGAGCAAATTATAAACACTGTTATTTGCTGTACTATTGTGGATAAAATGAAAGTTCCTGTGGCCAGGATTCTTACCTGGCCCTGGTTGGCTAGCTCACTGCACACATGTGGGCAATACATTGCTATTGACTGTATATAAAGAGCTCTGCCCAGTGGTCTGGGTGACACAGTGGCAGGGCTGCAAGGCTGCAGGAGAGCAGAGCAGAGGCTGGAGTGGTGGCAGTGCTGAGGACAGAGGCCCAGAGGACAGCTGTGCAGGATGACTGTGCAGAGGGGCCCAGAGGATGGCTGTGTGGACAGAGAGACCCAGAGGATGGCTGTGCCGGCAGAGGGCCCCAGAGGATGGCTGTGCGGGCAGAGGGGTCCAGAGGCAAAGACCAGCTTGCCGCATGCAGACTTCTCTAAGTGAAAGGGATTTTAGTGATTGACCTGCCACCATGGAAATAAAGTTGGGTATAACCCTTTCACCCCAAGAACGTTCTACTGTCATTCCTTTGGTCACCCTGAATCCATAGTGAACTTGCCTGGGGCTGAAACCCATTGGTAGGACAATTGGCAAAGTCAGCAGGGTACACTGTTGACCAAGGAAAATGACAGGCTACTGCTATGGGAGGGGTACTTCAGCAGGCTGCCCCTATGAATGGAGAGACAGTGGATTGTCCCCCAGTGGGTTTGTGGTCTGAGGTGGCTTGCCTCCTAGAGGGCTGGGCCCCACTCCAGGACTGCAGGCAAATGGAGGTGACACCTGAGGCTGTAGGGGTGGCCCTTGGTCTAGTAAGTAGGGCTTTTGAGAGACAGAGTGCTTGTGAGGCAGTGGGGACTGTGGGTTGGTTGCTTCTCACAGTATTAAAAAAGTCTACAGAAGAGAAGGACATGCTCTGGAAAAAGACCCAAGAAATGGTGGCACAAGAACATGAGCTGCAAACTGTTGTGGATTCAATGAAGAAGGAAATGACATTGATATGAGAGGAGGCAGCATGAGAGTACCAGCAGCGAGGTGCCATTGATGAGGTAAAAGATTCCTTACAGAATGAGAGAGCAGTGCTGCCATGTGCTCTGAAGGAGGGAAAGGCCATAAAGGAAAAAGATGGACTCCTAAGGGAAGCACAGGTGGAGGTGGCACGAGAACACCCGCTGCAAAGCACTAAGGTGAAGGTAAGAGCTGCTGAAGACTGAGCTGGCATTGCTGCGAGGCACAGTAGAA